CGCTCTCTGAGTTTGGTAAGATGAAATTAGAAAAATTTCCCTATTACCCAAAAAAAAAACATTTTTACCCTATTTTGGGTAATTTACCCCGGTTCCCCGACCGTTGATCTATATTATGTTTCAATGCCCGGCGCATCCACACAAAAAACACATGTTTATTTACCAGTTTCTAATTGTTAATTTCATCCATTACAAAACTTCAATTAATACAACCTTTGGAGCAAGGAGTCATTCAAACTTTAAAAATGTACTTGTACACACGCGAACTTTTCCAAACCATTTTCGAAAACAGTGAAAATGAAACCCTTACTCAAGTGTGGATGGAATTTTCTACTTTAGATTGTATTAATTAATTCGTGTTGGAAACATCTTTTACCTCAAATGGTTCAAGCAATACAAGATCAACTCCCAGTTACAGAAGTAGTAAACATTGCTTCTCGTTTAAGCGATGAAGAATTTGCAGTAAGAAAACTAGTACTCGGGGAAGAAACTTTAGATGAGGAAGAACTGATGGAATTAATTGATGCAACCATCTCAAATGCATTGGTAAACGAAAATAAGGAAAACGAATCTCGATTTATAAGATGTGAAAAAAAAGGGCTAATTTTGGCTAAAGAATTAGAACTTCATTTCATTCAAACTGATCGTTCAACGATGCAAAAGTGTAAAGTTTAAAAGAGAGTTAAGAAATTGCTTAGCTCGCTATAGAGAGGTTTTAGTGGAGTTAGAAAGAAAAGCTACAATCGAAAACCAATGTGAAGATGAACTAAGCGATGAAGACATTTTGCCCATTAAAAGAAGACGAGTTAGGCGAGGATGAGTGTTGAAAGATTAAATAATTTTACAAAAGTCTTCATTGCTTTTGTTGAAAAACAGTCTTTTAGTTTAGTTCTTGTTACATTTTTTTGTATCAATCCTTAAATAATTTATAATTTATCTTATCTTTTGTATTTATTGGCACGAATGATGTGATTTGTACTAATTCCGAGTTTCTTATAGCGCGGTTTCCATACAACGCGATACGCACTCACCGCGTTATAGAAGAGTTGACTGTATATCCAACATAAATCATTGTAAATCATCTGCACATTATGTATAAATTGTTGATGGCAACAATTTACATTTCAGTTGAGAGATGAAGAGTTAGTTTTAGGGCTAATTTCTTTGCAGAACAAATGGGTGGTTTTGCGCGTGTAAAAAAAGAAGAAGCGTCGTTGTAAAACTAAGAGGGTGGAACGGGAATATAAATGATTATTAAGAGAAACACGGGTGGAAATGAAGAAGTGAGGTGTTGGGGATGGGGTTTGAAAGAAAGTTTGCGAGAGAAGTTTTGCGAAAAGTTGGCGGGGAAGGAATGAAAAAAAAGAAAACAAGAACAAAAACAAGCAGAAGGAAAAAGATGCAAACAAAAGTAATGGATGCGAGTGAATCATTCGAGGAGTAAAAAGAAATTAACGCAGGAAATGTGCACGAACAAACAAACAAACAAACGTGAAAAGTTTTTGAATTTAGTAAATTCTCTAAGCAAAAGTTTCGCGTTTCGCTCGCATGAATTTACGCGATAATCCAAGCAAGCAAATAAACTAACTGCTAGTGCAAAAAGTGTCGCAAAACATTTAATAATTCAGTGTATTTTATTTTTTGTTTCAGTAGAATGTCTTCGACGACGACGAATCCGGAACTTCCGACGCCGCCGAAGACGCGTGCGAATCCACTGGACTTTAGGAATACGGAGCTGGTGTCACGGTTGTTGGCAGCGACTCCACCGTATCTGTACAATATGCCGATGGTGCCTAACAGTTACTTCTTCAGCGAGATGTTGAGGTCCTTCGTGCAGGCGAAAACGGAGCGAAACAACGCGATTCCCACCAACGCACCGAGAAGACCGAGGAAAAGGTCATGGACGCAGACGAGGTCCGAATACTATCAGAAGGATGAGAAGCATCATCTGCAGCAGCAGCAGCAACATCATCATCACCAGCAACAGCAACAACACGAGATGCCCAATTGGAAGCCGCCGCATCCACCAGAGAAACCTATGTACTTTGATAACAAAAGGACGGAGATTCCGTTGGAGTTGACGATGGACGTTCAAGGTAAACCGAAATCGCCGGAAGCTCAAAAGATGCCGCCACCGCCGCCCGCTTCAATCGTCTTCCCGCAGGAGACGTCCAATCCCAATAATCTCATATTACCGCCGCCGCCTCCGATCTGGTATCCTCCTTTGTATCCGGCGCCGTACGGCATCGATCCTCTTCACTTCTTCATAGACCTCCGGGTCTCCGGGCACATCTACGACCGCAAGAACGAGAAGGATCAGAGCCCGCAGCAAACGCACGAGGCGACCCCCCAACCTCACCATCAACCACCGCCGCCGCCTCCGCAACAGCCGCCTACTCTTCCGACGCACCATCAACCGCAACCGGAAACGACGCCATTCGCTTTCAAACAATCGCGACACGCTTCCGCCTTCAGCGTTCCCGTCCCATCGAAATCGTCGCCGATAAATCTGAGTTCACGCGAAGAGAATAAACCGTTAAAGTTCGACGTGAAATCGATGGGGTTCGAGAAATGTTCCAACAAGACGAGCACCAACTACGTGATGAGTAACGTTTCGCGCATCTACCGCGAATTGGGAGAGGATCAAATGCGAACAACGTACAAGAAGGAGGAAACGGAGGAAGTCGTGGAGGAAACCGAGGAGGAAAGACGTAAAAGGGTGAAAGATCTGAGAGCTCTCATAGGACTGGAACTCGTCGTCGATTACATGAATCACGGTAAACCGGGACAACCGCCTTCGACGACGACCACAACTACCGCAGATGAAAGCACCTCCGACAACGAATCGGCCGCAAGTTCAGCACTGGAAGTGGTGACCGTACAGGAGGAGATCATCAACGTTTAATCAAAAATATGTTCATGTTTGCGCAACGCAGCAATACAAAAGTTAATGAAACATACAACAAAAAGGAACTAGTCATTTACGATTTTAATTATATTTAGTCATTAGATCAAAACGAGTTAATAATTAATAATTAAACAAAATGTAAAGTATATATATATAATATATTATATTTAAATTGATGCGATTACAATAAATATTATTACTAAAAGCAATTAGAAATGTTTTTTTTTTGTTCTACTTTTATTAGTAAAACTAGTTTACAAAATGATATCAAAACATCGCTGGTATTTTGTAGACTAATCGACTCTAATAAGTGGTGCATTCTGAGGCAACAATAATTTCAATTAGTAATCAAAACTGTTTGTTCTGCTTTGCGGCGTCTGTTAGAAAGGTTAGCCGCATTGAAAGAGGGTCCTACTGACATATGCACACACGGCCTACCACGATGACATATGTTTAGTACATAAGCAGTTTATTACGGTTTTATGTTCAAATGAGAGACAGAAAGATTGAGAAAAGAAAGAAAGAGAGAAAGTAACTAAATGTCAATAGAGACAACTTCGTTTCGCGATGCGCTCCACACTCAGCCTGAGGCATATTTCCATGGAAACAAGACATACACAAAAAAAAAAGAGCAATACGAAAGCATAGCAACCGTCGTAACGTACCGTAACGTTTCCGTAATTAATACAATTGAAATGCTCGAATGGAAATGCAAGAATATAGAAAAATTTGCATCCGCCTGCGGCGAACGATAGAGATGTTTTTTTTTTGCTGTGGTTGTTGAATGGAATTCAATCACCTGGAGCTTCGCTCCTTGAGGCAGACGCGAGCAGATTAAGATCGTAATTCGGCTTAAAACGTTAACGCGAAATTGAAAAAGTTCGAAAAGGGACGAGAATAATCCAATTTCTCTTTGTGTCCGTGCATGGTGGATGGACACTCACTGGTTGGGGCATAAAAAATTGTGTGTGGATATTGTGAGAGAAGAAACGTTTTGCTAATATTTGCGGATAAAACACACACACACACAGAGAGAGAGTGGAGAGGACGGACGATTCGCCATGAATATGCAAATTGCCGTTGCTCCATTGTACGTCGACGGTGTGTGAATATTTACACGTTTTACACACTCTTGCGGTCGGTCAGCAACACCCTACCCCTTCAGGGTAAACGTGGTTACATTACGTGTGCTCTGCACACGTTGCGCCCCCTTCTATTTCATTTCAAATTTGCATACGGTCTCACACTACTTTTAGCGCCCGGCTTAATTTTAATGCGATTAAAAGCGGCGTTTCCCGTCCGAAACCGCAAAACGAATCAAGCAACAAAACCGAAACGAAAATCCCAGCTCCCAAACCCAGATTTAATCCCTGACGTCTCCATCTCTTTCGCTGTCAAAATACGCCCTCACCTTTCTAAAACAAATGAAAACTGTTGCTAGACTACAATAAACAAATTACTAACATCATGGCACTCTCATCTTACATACAAACAAAAGAATACAAAAAGTAAAACATTTAATTATGATTCAATTATCGACAAATTTTTAAAATTATATAAATTAATTTGAAACTTTAAATTCAATAACAATGTTTATTGTTTTTACTATGTGATATTGTAAAATAAATATTTTAATTAAAACTACAGTTAAAATCAATGAATTAGACTATATTTACAAATTCAATTAATTAAACCGCATGTATAATTCCTTAATTTACTATAGGCAACACACTGCGCGCGCTCCCAATTTTTCAAATAATTGTTAACTTCAAAACGATATTCCTTACGAAATTATTGTTATAAATGTTCGCATTATTATGTAATATTATTAGAAATAAATTAGATTATTGCTGTTTATTAAAAAAAAACTTTTAAAAGGAATATTGATAATTTATTAACGTATGCAACACACTATACACACTTTTCAAATAATTTATTAAATTACTGAAATTGTTCATTATTATAGTAAATAATTCGGTACAAATAAATATATACCAATTAAATTGGATAATTAATGAATTTAATCCAAATTATTTGCTTTATTATAGGCAACCATACGTACGCGCTCTTCTTCAATTAAACGAGTAATTTCTTTTAATTGCTATCAATTGAAACAATGCCTAACTATAATTAGGAATTGTACGTGTTTACTGTTGTTTCGTACAAATCTATGTAAATTAATCTTGTACAAAGTTCGTTTCACAATAGCGCATTGTATTTAAATTTTATTCGTTTACTGAATAATTCTAATGAAGCATGTGTAAAACTTGATAACAATTGCAGGAGAAACAACAAAAACTCGTATTGTTTACAAAAAAACAAATGCATTTTGTTTATATCACTAAGAAACGTAAATAAATGAATGTCGAAGGTGTCATTTTGTTTACGTTATTGTTGTTGTTTGTGTACGTAAAGGCTCTAATTATACTAAATAGTGAAAAAAATATGAAAAGAAGAATGTGCGTATTCATCGAAAATAGAAATGCAGCGGCCATCAGCTCGTACATTTATAGAACGATGGCCGAAAGTTCGAAATAGGAATTGGTCGTCGTCTGATTTGGAATTCGATCCGTGGGATGAAATTCAAATTGCGGGTATTTTGGCGCCACCGCGTCACGTGTCCGAGCGCCACTTTGACGTCTCTCCTCACCTCCTCCCACAATCAACTGTTCCAATCATCCAGTCAACGTTTGCGGATTTCTAAGGATCGCAGCAGCCACAAACATCAGACGACGTCCCAATCCTTGTGCACTTTGTTTGGAAACCATGGCAGCGAAACTGATAAAAATCCTGGTAAGTGATCAATCAAAAATTCTATTCATTTGCATACAATGAAAATTACAAAATTTCCCATTCACAACTTGATTATTTTATTGTTGTATTGTTCGTGCACGAACAATACTAATTGTTTTGTTAATTTCACCTTATTTAAACGATTCAAAGCATTTTCCCGCTTTTCTCTCCCCTAAACACGACGAGAAACACCCACATTATGTAACTGTGACATTTCCCTCTGACGTTTAATTTGAGGTTACATGTCACATGTTATTGTGGCGCTCTCTCGATCTTCCATCACATCACATCTAAAGCAAACTAATTGATTTCCTTCTTTTTTACGCTGTGCCATGAAAACAATTGCACATGCAAAACAATTTAAACAAAAAAACAAAACAGAGCAATCTGAAACAAAGCATCTGCAAAATAAGTAAAACCTCAACTAAAGTCAACAATGTCGCTCAGGTAATCACACTTATCTATTAATACTAATACTAATTTAGTTGAAGAGCGTTTAGATGAAGAGGCAAGGAATGTATTGTTAATTTGTTTATTTTGAAGGGCAATTGCCAGAGGTCCCCCAGCACCGGATCCAGATTCTACAGCAGTCAGGTGCGTAAGTGCACCATGATCCCCGGCGACGGAATTGGACCTGAGATCTCTCAAGCAGTCCAGAAGATCTTCGCCACAGCCAAAGTGCCCATCGAATGGGAAACTGTTGATGTCACCCCAGTCAGGGTACGTGTACAAATTAGTTTGCAATAATCGGATTGATTGATTAATCTTTTTGTTGTTAGGGACCTGATGGAAAATTCGGCATTCCTCAGGCGGCCATCGATTCGGTGAATCGCAACAAGATTGGTCTGAAGGGACCATTGATGACTCCCGTTGGAAAGGGACACAGGTCACTCAATTTGGCTCTGAGGAAGGAGTTCAATTTGTACGCCAACGTGAGGCCGTGCCGCAGCTTGGAAGGGTTAGTGCGATTGTTGTGTGGCAAGTGAAGACGAATTACTTATAATTGGATTGTTGCAGTTACAAAACCTTGTACGATAATGTGGATGTGGTGACAATCAGGGAGAACACGGAGGGTGAATACTCTGGTATCGAGCACGAAATCGTTGATGGTGTTGTGCAGTCCATCAAGTTGATCACTGAGGAGGCTTCGATGAGGGTGGCCGAGTTTGCCTTTGAATACACCAGGGAGAACAAGAGGAAAAAGGTGACTGCAGTGCACAAGGCCAACATCATGTAAGTTATCCAATTTATTACATTTGTAGCAATCGATGCTGATATTTGTGTTGAACTTTGAGTTCGTTTCGATCTGATTGATTTATCTGGAAAATTTTTAATAGATTAGCTTAAGCTTTTCAAAAAATTACGTATTGTCAGCTCGTTAATTGTTTCGTTTCTAGGAGAATGTCTGACGGTCTTTTCCTGCGGTGTTGCCGCGACGTGGCCGCAAAATTCCCGGACATAAAATTCGAGGAAAAGTACCTGGACACCGTGTGCTTGAACATGGTGCAGGATCCATCCCAGTACGACGTCCTCGTGATGCCCAATCTGTACGGTGACATCATGTCCGATATGTGCGCCGGTCTCGTCGGCGGTCTCGGTCTGACCCCATCGGGTAACATCGGCATCAACGGTGCTCTGTTCGAATCGGTGCACGGTACCGCCCCCGACATAGCCGGCCAGGATAAGGCCAACCCCACGGCCCTCCTCCTCTCCGCCGTCATGATGCTGAAGCACATGGGACTCGTCGAACAGGCTCGCATCATCGAGACCGCCTGCTACGAGACGATCAAAGAGGCCAAATACCTGACCGGCGATTTGGGTGGCAAAGCCAAGTGCTCGGAGTTCACCAACGAAATCTGCGCCAAGATTTCCGCTCACTGAGCGAGTGACCGGGTTTTCGCTCACCCACCAGTCCCATCAATAATCGCCAATCAATAATAATAATAAGCAAAGCAAAGATGGAAGGATTTCATCGTAACAATGTGTACATAGCGTATTGTTGTTGTTTAGGTTCAATTTACGTTTTAGCACTATACTTGTACATACTTGCATTTTTCTTAACAAGCAACGCACTTTTAGACCAGCCAATCAAATCAAAATAGAGAACAGTATTAAGCGCCATCACCAACCAACAACAAAATGAAAAGAAACGATTTTTGCAAGGTTTCATCTACCGGCCCCCCTCCCACGCCGTGACAATACCAATAATTTTACCTAGTCCATAGATAATTTTTGTCCTTAATTTAATGTTATATTATATATTGTATATATATATACATACATACATACAGATATATGCCTATGTCACCTTCAAGTTGTTCTTTATTTTTTTGTTCTTCTTTTTCATCGAAACGGAAATCGTGTGCATCTGTGGCAAAACGTATCTCGTAATCTTATTATATTTTATCGTGACTTATTTATTTCGAAACAAAACAATAAACTCGTTCCCTCAACTATACCTATTTCTCATTAATACACATCCTCCTCCTTCAGTTTATAACAGGCGACTCGGCAGCAGTACGAAGATGCTTTTAGGCTCGTTGGAAAGGTGAGACATTCAGCTTTCATACGAGTGGTCAATGATGTAATTATCTTAAGGGGTTGTTGAGATATTCAAGAAAAACTAAAAACATCAGTTTTTGTGCAAATTCATTTCACCTTTTTTCCACTTTCTTCAGCTCATAGCAGGCGACTCGGCAGCAGTACGAAGATGCTTTTAGGCTCGTTGGAAAGGTGAGACATTCAGCTTTCATACGAGTGGTCGATGATGTAATTATCTTAAGGGGTTGTCGAGATATTCAAGAAAAACTGAAAAAAAGTAGAAAAAAACGTCGTTTTTCTGTTACGTAACGAACATTACGTAACTTTTGTTACGTAAAAAGTTGTGCAACGCTTGCGTGCAACTGATTATGCAATAAAATCATAAAAAAGTTTATTACTTTTCGAGTTATTAACGAAAAACTAAAAACATAAGTTTTTGTGCAAATTCAATTCACCTTTTTTCCAATTTCTACAGCTTATAGCAGGCGACTCGGCAGCAGTACGAAGATGCTTTTAGGCTCGTTGGAAAGGTGAGACATTCAGCTTTCATACGAGTGGTCGATGATGTAATTATCTTAAGGGGTTGTCGAGATATTCAAGAAAAACTGAAAAAAGTCGAAAAAAAACGTTGTTTCTCTGTTACGTAACGAACATTACGTAACTTTTGTTACGTAAAAAGTTGCGCAACGCTTGCGTGCATCTCATTATGCAATAAAATCATAAAAAAGTTTATTACTTTTCAAGAAATTCAAGAAA